TCTGACTAGAGTGAGATGAAATCTCAGTCTAGTTTTAATTTGTATTTCTCTAATTGCTAAAATGTTGAACTTTTTCACATATATTTATTGACCAATGGTATTTCTTCTTCCATGAAGTACCTATTCAATCCCTTTGCCCATTTATTGATTGGCTTATTTATTTGTTGTGGTGTTAAGCTTTTTGAATTCTCTCTAAATACTGGAGATTAATGCTCTATCTGAGGTGAAGGTGGCAATGATTTTTCTCTCATTCTGTAGGCTCTCTCTTTATGTTCTTGATTGTTTTTAAGGAGAAAATTTTAACCTCAAGTCTTTTTGAACTAAGTAGTTCTGCATGTAGTCTTGTTTCTACATGCCACAAAGGAGGACAGAGCTGCGGGCATTCCATGGCTTTTCATAGCAATATTTTTAAGAATTAATACCTGTGGTCTCTTCTTAAACTCCATGGCTTTCTGGGTTTTTTGTTTGTTTGTTTGTTTGTTTTGTTTTGTTTTGTTTTTTGGTATTGGAGATTGAACTCAGGAGCACTCAACCACTGAGCCACATCCCCAGCCCTTTTTTATATTTTATTTAGAGACCAGGTCTCCCTGAGTTGCTTAGTGCATTGCTAAGTTGCTGAGGCTGGCTTTGAACTCTAGATCCTCCTGCCTCAGCCTCGCGAACTGTGGGGATTACAGGCGTGCACCACTGCGCCTGGCTGTTTTCTCCATTTAATAGCCACTTTTATTGAGTGATTATTTGCAACTAAATTTTCATATGATGCAGTAGCATCTATATAATGCACATGTGTGTTTCATCCTACAGATAACACCCTTGTATAGAGGTTAGGGTGTTACTATTAGGAACTCTAAGGAAAAAAATGCCTCAAGGTTATTATTTTGCACTAACATCCCCACTTTCATAAACATCAGCAAAATGAGAAAGCCCAGCATCCGTTTACAATTATTATAGGAGAAATGGGTAAAGTGTACAAGTGCCTGCCACAGGGTTGCACCGGTATTTGTCTTCTGCTTGGATTGGCCTAAAACTTAAATCAGTTGAGAAAAAAAAGGTGGACACTTGTAGTTGAGAAAACCGAAATGTTATCTGCTTGCTCCTAAATAATTCATGTCAGACTTATAGGTCTTGAATTTGAAATATTAATGTTGAGTTGAAGGGTTGGGGATGTAGCTCAGTGGTAGAGCCCTTGCCTAGCATGCATGAGGCTCTGGGTTCCATGCCCAGCACTGCCAAAAAACCCCCAAACCAAAAACATATACAGCTCAGTGGTACAGTGTTTGCCTAGCATGCTCAAGGCTCTGGGTTCCATCCTTAGCACCTCAGAAGAAAAAATATATCTGAGTTAACATTTAAACCATTTGTGTGTGTGTGTGTGTATTTTTTTGTGTGTGTGTGCTGGGACTTGTGCATGCAAGACAAGCCCTCTACCAGCTGAGCTATATCCTCAGCCCTGTATTAAATACCCTTTAAGACTACATTTTTGAGAACCAATTCTTAGAGACCCAGAAATATGCAAGGGCAGACTGTTCTTTAGAGTTTACAATTAGCTAATGTTGAGAGAAGTAAAAGGTGGTAGAGACTCAGGTCTCATGATTCCCAACTGGAGCAGCTGTTGTGGTGCAATGAATGATTACTGTTCTTTGGATCAGAAAACCCCAGCTCACGACCAGTTGAAGCCAGGTACTTTCTATTTACATGATCTTACAGAAGTAACTCTGTGTACCTCAGTTTCTTTGTCTATAAATGGAAATTGTGATCTTTCTCAGGATTTTCTTATGGTTAAATGAATTAAAGTATGTGAATGTGTTAACGTTTTGAAAAGGAGTCAGTGAATCCAGTTTGAAATGATATCAAAATTGTTACCAAACAAGAATTAAAAACAGAAAGAAGAGTAGAAACCTAGGCTGATCTGGGATTCTAGGTAAAGAGCAGGGCAGTCCCATTAATTTGCTGCTGCTGAGACTATGTGTCACTGTCCAGTACTCAACTTCCAGAAAGGGTTAATGCAGCCTGGCCTGCATCCAGTGCTCACATCTTCAGCAGGCTGCAGTTGGCACCTTGATTAAGGTTCCACTGAGGTTGCATCTAATGGAAGTGGGATTGCTTCTGCAGCACAAGACGCTATTGGAAGAAAAATAAGACACTATTGGAAGGGAGTGGATGCGGGGTTGACAGAAGTATCAGGATCATTCAAGCACTAAGCAACTTTAAGTATCCCTTGTGTGTTTAAAATAATTTAACAACAGACTCAGAAGAGAGTACTTTTAAGAATCACTAATGGCTAATATAACTGGGAGTTCAAGGGAAACCAAAGAGCAAGAAGAGTTTAGAAGCTATCTGTGCTTGTCCATTACTAAAATTGATCATCAGAACACATTGAAATGTTACCCAAATGCCCATTGGCAATACAATGGGAAAGAAATTTTGTTACATTCACACAACAGTCTTTACCAAATTAGAATGGACAATCTCAAGTATGCACAGCATATGGATACATCCCTTAATCACAGTATCGAATTGAAGAAGGCAGATTGGAAGACTACATACCAAATGATTCCATTCATACAAGGTACAAAATAGCAAAAATAAGTTTTGCTGTTAGGATTCAGTGATTATAGCCACAAAGGATCATAAGCAAGAATGGCAAAGCTATTAAGTCTGAAGATTAGTACATTTAATAAATATATTATAACATTTTGAATATTAAAGTATAGATACTGTTTTTTATTGTTGTTGTTGTTTGGTACCAGAGTGCTTTACCACTGAGCCACATCCCCAAAGTCTTTTTATTTTTTTATTTTAAGACAGGGTCTCACTAAGTTGCTTAGGGTCTTGCTAAGTTGCTAAGGCTGGCCTTGAACTTGGGATCCTCCTGCCTCAGCCTCCTCAGATACTGGGATTACAGGCTTGGGCCACTGTGCCCTGCTTAATTTTTTTTTTTTTTTAAACTCAGTGATTACATGGGAAAGATCAGAATTGTGACTGTAAAGTAGCAAGAGGGGAGATTCTGGGGTGTGGTCATGCTCTACTTGTATGGATATGTTCTATTGGTGGGTCACATTTCATTGAACTATATAGCTACAATATGTAAACTTTTCAATATGTATGATATATTAACCTTTTGTATTTGGTGGTGTTGGAGATCAAACTCAGGGCTTTGGGCATGGTAGGTAGAACCCCACCAGTGAGCTACACCCTTGAAAAGTTTTAAGTTTTTTTTTTTGTTGTTGTTACCGGGGATTGAACTCAGGGGCGCTTGACCACTGAGCCACATCCCCTAAATAAGATACAAAACAGGGCTTGTATCTTATTTAGAGACACAAGCCCTGTTATGTATCTTATTTAGAGACACAAGCCCTGTTATGTATCTTATTTAGAGACAGAGTCTCACTGAGTTGCTAAGGGCCTTGCTTTTGCTGAGGCTGGCTTTGAACTCTCAATCTTCCTGCCCCAGTCTCCCAAACTGCTGGGATTACTGGTGTGCAACACCGGGCTCGGCAAGTTAAAATTTTAATATGTACTAATACTCCCAGATAGATATTAAGTACTGAATAGTTTAAGAGGTACCTGATCATGCTAATGTATATAACTATTCTAAAATATTCATTTCAATTTCATGTACACTTAGCCTTCAACAGCTCCTATAAATAAGTCAGGATTTTCTGTGAATTCTATTACGATTTTATTAGAATACCTCTAAATAAGTCAGAGAATATATTTCTTGACTCAGAGGTCATTCCTAAAGTGGTGACTTTGATTAGTTAATTTTCAATATCAAGGAATGACATTAAAATTATTTTCAAAAGAATTATAGTCAGCTAGTGGCACCTGCTTGTAGTCCTTGCTAATTGGGAGGCTAAGGCAGAAGGATTTTTATTTCAAGGCTATCCTTGACAACATAGTGAGACCCTGTCTCAAACAAACAAACAAACAAAAAACCCATGCCTGGTATTTTTACTTCTTTGACTTGCTGCTATTTCTTTTTCTTCTTCTTCTTTTTTTTTTTTTTTTTTTTTTGGTGCTGGGAATTACACCCAAGTCCTGGCACATACTAGATAAAGTCTTCAAGTACTGAGCTACATCCCTCCAACCCTCTGCTATTTTCTTATCCAATGCACACACACACAAAAAAAAACCAAAGACCAATTTTCCAACAATTTGAGGTAAAGTAAGATTAGGGAAAAGGAAAAACAATAGTTATTTTTTAGTTAGTTTTTAAAAATCACTTATTTTTCAATTTTTAAAATTCATTAAATAGTTAATTAATTTGGGTAACAGGGATTGAGCCCAGGGATTCTTAACCACTGAGCCATATCTCCAGTCTTTTTTTAATTTTTATTTTTAAGATAGAATCTCATTAAGTTGCTTAGGGCCTCACTAAATTGCTGAGACTGGCCTTGAACTTATGCTCCTCCTGCCTTAGCCTCCCAAGTTGGTAGGATTACAGGTATATGCTACCAGCCCCTTTCTTTGGGTTAGTGGGGTTTTTTGTTTGTTTGTTTTTTGTTGTTGTTGTTTGTTTGTTTTTTTGTTTTTGCTACTGGGGATTGAACTTGGGGGCACTCAACCACTGAGCCACATCCCCAGCCCTATTTTGTATTTGATTAAGAAACAAGGTCCCAGGGAGTTGCTTAGCACCTTGCTTTTGCTGAGGTTGGCTTTGAGCTTGCAAACTTCCTGCTTTAGCCTCCTGAGGTGCTGGGATTATAGGCTTGCACAACTGCATCCGGCCTTGAGTTAGTTTTAATGCTCTTTCGCTCACTCTGTACTCTTACTTTTGTTTACATAAATGCAAGTACTTGCGGTGAGAGCATGTGATCTCAAAGAAGTCTCACCAGGAAGGTGAGCCATTCTCTGGGAAGTGTAGGATGCAAGTGGACATATATTTTGGGGTAGCATGGTTGATAGTGCACATTAAATTACAATTTACACAAACACATGGTGGTGGCTCTTTTATGTCATTCAAGGAAAGTGACATATTCTTGGTTTGTTTTGGGTAGATTCTGCCGTTCCTGTATTGCTACCAGTTTAAAGAACAACAAGTGGACCTGTCCATATTGCCGGGCATATCTTCCTTCAGAAGGAGTTCCAGCAACTGATGTGGCCAAAAGAATGAAATCAGAGTACCAGAATTGCACTGAGTGTGACACCCTGGTATGTGACATGCACATGTTCACGGTTACTGGCTTAGGTGACTGAAAAAATTACCACTTTTCCTGTGCTTTTCTTTTCTTTTCAAATATTTTTTAGTCATAGATGGACACATTATCTTCATTTTGTTTATTTATTTTTGTGTAGTGCTGAGGATTGAACCCAGTGCCTCACATGTTTGAGGTAGGTGCTCTGCCACTGAACCACAGCCCCAGCCCACCTGTGCTTTTTTGTGGTTGTTTTGTTTTGGTACCAGAGATTGAACCCCCAGGAGTGATTAACCACTGAGCCACATCCCCAGCTCTTTTTATTTTTTATTTTGAGACAGGGTCTCAAAATGTTACTTAGGATCTTGATAAATTGTTGACTTTGAAGTTGCGATCCTCCTGCCTCAGCCTCCTGAGCTGCTGGGATTATAGGCAAGCACCACTGTGCCTGACTTTGCCTTTGCTTTTGATCCCATTCTACTCAGCTTTTCTAAGTGCTTTATCTCAGCCTTTTTACTGGCATCTCTCCAATTTCATATGTATAGGCAGCAGATGAAACAGACCCCTGTACTATGTTTGCCTAACTTTTCAAATAATTTTTTTTTCACCAAAAACTACTGGGGGTTGAATCCAGGGACATTCTACCACTGAACTACATCCCCAGCCCGTTTTTTTTTTTTTTTTTTTTGGTGGTGCTGGGGATTGAACCCAGGGTCTTGCACATGCCAGGCAGGCTCTCTACCACTGAGCTATATCCCCATCCTCAGCCTTTTTTATTTTTCATTTTGAGACAGGGTCTTGCAAAGTTGCCCAGACTGACCTTGAATTTGCTATCCTCCAGCCCAACCTCCTGAGTAGCTGGGCATATTTCCACCTATATTATTCTGATCCTTTAGTCTTTATTGATCACTTCCTCCTGGTTGTAATTCTCCACCTTTGGCACTATACTAGTCTGATCAGATAACATGGAGTCTTGGAGTTCATGTAAAAGATTCTAGATTTTGCTCTAAAGGCAATAGTAAGCCATAGAAAGAATGTGAGCATTTGAATGCCAAAATGGAGCTTATATTTTAAAGATAGTCCTCTAGTATGTGCATAAGGAATGAGTTTGGAGAGGATGAAAAGGGAACCTTGGAATCAGTTAGGTGGCTATTATGCTAGGTCAGGTAAGGAAGCTGGATCAGGATGATGCATTCAGGTATGGAAAAAGAGATTGTTTCAAGGTATAGTTAGGAGATAGAATTGAAGGAAAATGGTATTTGACTGGTGTCATTAAATGAGAGAGGTGACATTAATAATTAAATAATTAAATGACATGAATAAATGAAGGTGCTAATAAGGTAGCAAATTTGAAGAGGAATCCACAGAGATATGTTTGGATATGTTAAGCTTGAGCTGCCCAGGGGAGATGCTGGGAGGGTGTATAGACATCCCAGTCCAGAGATCAAGAGATTTCTTTAGGGAACCTCTCTTGATGGTTAAATCTTTTTTTTTTTTTTTTTGTACTAGAGATTGAACCCAGTGGTGTTTTACCACTGAGCTGTATTCCAGACCTTTTTATTTTTTACTTTGAGACAGAGTTTCACTAATTGCTGGCCTCAAACTTGAGATCTTCCTGCATCAGCCTCCCCGAGTCCTGGGATTATAGGTGTGTGCCATTGCACCCAGCTCTTGACTGCTAAATGTAAACTGGAGCCCTGTCCCACTTTTCCTTAGAACCCTGTGCTCTCCCTTTATACTACTTACCACTCTTTTGTGGGTTTTTTTGTTTTTTTTTTTTTTTTTTTTTGAGTTCCATTAGGGTAAAGATGTTGGCTATTTTGCTGATGGTACCTGTGCCCAGTCCTTGAAACTGGAATTTTGCCCCCATCATCCAGAATAGGAAGATAAAATTATCAAAATGGAATTTTAGAAAAACATAAAGCAAATGAAATCTAATTTCAGGAGTCTATATACAGGACTGTTCCTTGCTTCTCTGACTCAGACAGATTGGGAGCCAGCTGAGGGGTTAATAGAGATGGAGCACATTTCTTCAGCCACGAGCTTCTGACAAATTAATTCTTTCTTTTAAAAAATATTTATTTATTTTTTAGTTGTAGTTGGACATAATACCTTTATTTTATTTATTTAGTTTTATGTGGCACTGAGGATCAAACCCAGGACCTCGAACGTGCTAGGCAAGTACTCTACTGCTGAGCCACAACCCCAGCCCCAAATTAATTCTTACTGTGGAGGCAGGAAGCCCCCGGAGCCAGAGTGCTGGCATCTTAGCTCTTTAGCTCTTGAGGAGGACAGACCCCCTGATTCTTTCTGCTTGGCCTTCCTGTTGGGTGGGGCCCTCATCCTCTTCAATTAGGCCATTTCCTTCTGCCTTGTTGCCCCAGAAACCTAGGTGGCTTACCTTCATGTGTCAGCCACAGCTGGGGCCTGGGTAGCATAGCACCTCCTCCAACACTGTACCACCACCTGCAAATTGGCTCATAGTCAGGGAAATGCATTTTATATGTTAATATAAAGCTTTTTGACTATTTATGTAATCTGTTCATGGCTACCTGACTAGAATTTATGCATGGTCTTTGGGGTTCAGACACCCTGAGATCAAACACTTAATTCTCTCAATGCACTCAGTATGATTTTGGGCAAGTTATGAGTCTAAGTTTTAGTTTACCTTTTTGTAAAATAAGGGGGAAGATAATGTTGCTACAGAGTTGTTTTGAAGGTATATTATATGTGTCTTTTGGCATAATATCTGGAATATAGTAAAGTAAAAATCAAAAGCTTTTTACATTTTGGAGAAGAGATTATCGCTTATTTTCACTTATTTTGTCATCATATAAAATTTAGCATGTACAAAGTCAAGCTCATGGTATTCCATCACCCACTTCCTTCCCTCACCATTGACATCTGTCAGGAACAACAGCATTCTCTGCATTATCCTGGTAGAAATCTTCTTCCTTTTTTCATCCACCACCCCCATATATGATTAGTCACACGGATTTTGATTTATCTTTGAGGAACTTATTGCATATATCTCTTCTTTTCTATGCTATTCCTGTTGCCAGGTATGCTGCATCTTTCTATGGCCATTTTAGACTTGGCTTATTCTTCAGAGTCTGGGTCAGACTGCCACTTCTCAAGGCCTGGCCATGGTATCTCACTGTGCCCTATTAATTTCCTGTGTATCTGTGCAGCCTTCTTCCTCTGTTAGATTACCAGCACCTTTAGAGCAGGCATGTGATTTATGTTTCTTTTGCCATCGCAATGTACAGTGTCTTAGATAATTTTGCATGTAGACCACGAGCTTATCAATTCATCTATTCATATACAGTTCCCAGATCAGCAATTTTCCTGAGGAATGCTTATCTTTTTGAACAAAGAGTTCAAAGAAAAAGACATGTTTGTTAACAGAAGTAGTAAGGAGATTAGAGGACTTTAATGTGTAAAGCTGGATGTTAAAGGTTGTAAACACATCTGTAAAACAACCAACTATGTCAGCCCTTGTTTTTATGTTTTAAACAGATATTGTAAAGCAAGGCTTATGGTTTTACTTTTTTACTACCTTTTATTTTGCCTTTTGTTCAACAATGATAACTGTTTCCTTGACACAGTAAATTTCACATTTGAGGCTGAACTTCCGCAGCTTGGGTAAAATGAAGCACAGTGGGTTGACTACTGTACCACAGCTGTACAAAGCTTCCTTTAGTACAAGATCTTATCAGAGTTCTAATGAAACCTTTGGTAGAATGTGTGTTATGTTAGCAACAGATGCCTCATGGTTAGCATCTCTGAATGTATGTCTGTAGGAACAAGGGCTCTTTATTCTGCATTAATAAAAATGCGCTGCAAGAGCTGTTTTTTATGTTTGCTCTTCATGGGACCATTAAGTATGCTATGCATTGTGAATTCATATAGTGCTACTGGGTATGTTATAAATCCATGGTATTTATATCTTTACTAAGGCACAGGGTTTCTTACCATTTTTTTTTCCCTTTGGGTACCAGGGATTGAACTCAGGGAGACTTGACTACTGAGCCACATCCCCAGTCCTGTTTTGTATTTTACTTAGAGACAGGATCTCACTGAGTTGCTTAGCGCCTCGCTTTTGCTGAGGCTGGCTTTGAACTCTTGCGATTCTCCTGTCTCAGCCTCCTAAACCTGGGGACATCTCTAAAATTCATACATTTCTTTTTCTCGCCTCTCTTTACTTCTTTTCTGTTTCTTCTTCCTTCTTAATTTTTTTCCTTCCTTCCTCCTTTCTCTTTTTCTTTACCAGTTTTCTTTCTCTTCTTCCCCCCCGCCAATCTATTTATATAATGGCATGCAAAAAACAATTTTAAGTTACTATACTTCTTTTCACTTTAAAAGAATAATGCTTTTTACTAAATATGTAAGTCCTCTAAGTATTGGAGAGACTTAAAAATAGCATTATTCTTCATCATGCCTCACTCTGTGGTACTGTTTCATGAATGCATCCATTTATTCAGCTGACCCCCTGGTATGGTTTAACTTGAAAGTTATAAAGTTGGGTCACACAAAACTCCTTTTCATCAATGAGCTTATTTTGAATTTGCTTTTCCATAGGTTTGCCTCAGTGAAATGAGGGCTCACATAAGGACTTGTCAGAAGTACATCGATAAGTATGGACCACTACAAGAACTTGGAGAGACAGCAACAAGGTTTGTTTTAATACAGCATAATTTAGGGCTAAATTTGATATATCTATAAAGAATTTATGATCTGCAAAGTTTGACATTTTTTATTATGAAAATATGGGGTTATTATTAGGTTCGTCACTGTAATACCTGGTGCAGGTGATTGTTTGTTTATAGTGATCATTTTCAAAGAATTTTGCTCTATTTTAAAAGTTGCATAGGGGAAACCAACTGGAGACATTGGGGTAACTTCCTCAAATGAGTTTGTATTAAGGAAGACCAAAAATAGAATGCAGAACTTAAATTTCTGCTAGGCTCTGTTCTCTAATAGATTCCTGAAGTAGTTTGTGATGAAAAGATTATTCACCTTTACTCTTTTCTTTTTCTTTTTTTTGGGGGGGGAGGTGGGTACCAGGAATTGAACTCAGGGGCACTCAACCACTGAGCCACATCCCCAGCCCTATTTTGTATTTAATTTACAGACAGGGTTTCACTGAGATGCTTATTAGCACCTCGCCATTGCTGAGGCTGGCTTTGAACTTGGGATCCTCCTATCTCAGCCTCCTGAGCTGCTTGGGATTACAGCTGTGCACCACTGCACCCGGCTCATCTTTAATCTTTCTTAAAATACTATTTTATTTCTTTACATGTGAGTTGTAACTCTTTTTTTTTTTTTTGCACCAGGGATTGAACACAGGTGTGCTTCACCATTGAACCACCCATTGAACCACATCCCCGGGCCTTTTATTTTTTGAGACAAGATCTCACAAAGTTGCTTAGGGCCTTGCTAAGTTGCTAAGGCTGGTCTTGAAATTGCAATTCTCCTGCCTTAGCCTCCCAAGTCACTGGGATTCAGGCCTGCATCACCATGCCCAACTCATCTTTATTCTTTTTTTCTTTTGTGGTACTAAGGAGTTAACCTAGGGGAGTTCTATTACTGACCTATATCTCCAGCCTTTTTATTTTTTATTTTGAGACAGGGTCTCACTAAGTTGCACTGGCGGCCTCAAACTTGCAATCCTCCTGCTCCAGCCTCCCGAGCTGCTCAGATTATAGGTGTGTACCACCACACCTGGCTCATCACCTTTCCATCACCACTGCTTGGTTTCCCAGCTCCTTCTCTCTCATTTTGCTAGTTTCCTTTAGAAGGAAGTGGCATCTCAGTGTATCTTCTAACAAGGGAAGAACAGGCCTGGGACAGGTATCATGATTCCTTTGCCTTTTTGGTTGGGTGATCCCTATGTGGGGCTGAGGAAGGGTGGAGGTGGTAGTCAGTGTAACGGAGGACATTGATTATTAACTGTTTTTTTTCTTTAAAAAGGAGAAAGAAACAAATCCCTGATGGGAAGGATAGTTTAGTTGTATCAGAGTAATTAGAAAATTTGACATATGTCCCTGTTAACAAAATTAAGAAGTGATTTGTAATCTCTTGCTTAGGTCATGGCTTTGAAACCATTAAATCTACTTATGCACAGTTATACTGGTATTCAGTATAAGTATAATTTCTTTCTCTTTCCTGAAATTTTAGTTCTACGTATTTTAAGAAATATACTCAAAATAGTAAACATCGTAACCTAAAGTCTAAATGATCACCCCTTTCCTTTTGTTCTACTAGACACTGCCTTGCAGATGTACCTGCTTTTACAGATTAGTTTTACACTATGATGTTATACATCTTAAATGAGCACTGTAGCTATAAGCAGACTTTGGCTTCTGCAGGACTGACCACAAGGACCCTTGAGAAAGAAGGATAATAAGTGGGTTAAGAAAGTGTGTGGGTTTGATTGCAAGGTAGATGGGCTTTGTGAAAATTTAAAAATATATGAAAGCTAATTTAAATCCTAATTTCTTTTGCTGGTTATAATTACATAGTAAAGAATTTTAAAAATAGATGGAAGTGGAGTCGTAGCTCATCAGTGGAGTGTCTGGGAGGCCGTGAGTTTTATCCCCAGCACTGAAAAAAAAAAAAAAGAAAAGAAAATGAGGAGCTTGTCAATCAGTTTTATAGGCCAGATTTATATTTTCATTTATGATCGAAATCTTTGCTTTATAGAAGAATTAACTGCATGATTCAAATATTGACAGCTCTTATACAGGAAATTTTTCCAGAGTAACAGTCTCGGGAAACAGGAAATGACATGTATAATGGAAAAGGAGCAAAAGCTTCAAGCTTCCGTACTGTTGCTAAGAAATTAAGGCAATGTTGTCTAATAGAAATGATGTTGATCACATTTAATTTAAAAATTTTCTAGTAGCCACATTCAAAAGATTAAAAGAAACTAGTGAAACCCTGTGTGGTGGGGCATGCCTACAATCCCAGCCACTTGGGAGGCTGAGGCAGGAGGACCGCCAAGTTTAAGGCCAATCTCAACAGCTTAGTGAGACCCTATCTCAAAATGACACATATTAAGGGCTGAGGAGTTTGGTAGAACACCCCTGGGTTCAATCCCCAGATACCCCCCCCAAAAAAAAATAATAGAAAAGAAACTAACTTTTAATATATTTTCTTTTAATATAATATAGTCAAAGTATCATTCAGACATGTAATCAGTATAAAAATTATTGAGATAGTTCACATACCCTTTATTACATTAGGCTTTGAAATTTCAATATGTAAACTCAGTGGATGAGCACTTGCTCAACGTGCTCAGCACGTAAGCCTTGGATTGATCAGTGTGTATTTTATACTTCCAGCATATGACAACTTGGACTAACCGGATTTCATATGCTTAATAGACATATTGGACAGCACAGATGTAAGGGATAGTTACTAAGAACTCCTGAGGACAGCTGCAGATGAATTTTCATTCTTCATTGGAAACTAAGAATGTGTAATGGATACCCCTTAGTGATGCTCGTGGAATTGGAGAACAAATAACACTCATATCATATGGTACTTGAATTAGGAAAGAAAAGAAGAAAAAGGTAACTGAGAGCTGGGTGCTGTGATCATCAGTTTCTCAGTTAATGGGTGCTGGATTGCACTTCTCTCCCAAAAGGAATAAAGAGCTTCTATATAACTCTCTGCCCTGTCCCTGTTAGCACACACATTTACATTTCTCACAGGGAAAAACCTAGGCACCAGCAACATTATCAGGAGAGGAAAAATAGTATTAAATCAGAAAAGAACTAGAATTAGATAATCTACCTAACTTCTCCTCCTTCATTTCCACCTAAGTGATTGATTACTCTCTAGCTGCCCACGGTTTTAGTAATGTTTGGAATTCTACTCATGTTTGCAATTTCCAGGTGTGTATGTCCGTTTTGTCAGAGGGAACTGGATGAAGACAGTTTGTTGGATCATTGTATTACTCATCACAGATCAGAAAGGAGACCGGTGGTAAGGACTTTTATGACCATGTCTTTTAGCAGTGTTTTAATTTAAGATGCATTAGAAAATCCATTTAATAGATTTAGTTTCTTCTTTTAACTTCTCCCTCTCCCTCTCTTTCTTGTTTTTATGTGTATGTATGTGTTTGAAGACTGAACCCAGGGCCTCATGCAGGCTAGGCAACTACTGTACCACTGAGCTACATCTTCAGCCCTAGAATTTTAGACTCATTCGTTCTTACTCTGCTTTCACTGTTCTCACACATGGTTCCCTAGTAAGGGAAGTCTAGCAATAAACAAATAATATTGAATCCTTTTAAGAAAACAATTAAAATTCCTCCAGGAAGAAAAAACTTGCCCATTTTGAAGCACAATACCCCCATCATAAATGTAAGTTTTTAAGTGTCTTACAAAGTTAAGAGCAGGGGTAAGAATTTTTTTTTCATTTAAGAAACGTTGTTAATTTTAAGAAGCCTAAGACATTCTGTTATTCTGTCTTTCTCTCTGAAGTACTTTTATTTTTTATATCAGACAGGGATATTTTCTCCTGACATTTCCAAGGACTCTCACTCTCTTTGACATTCCAGAAAAGGAGACCAAGTGGACCACAAAAGAAGAAGCGTTTTTTAATAGGCTCTCTGTAAAGCATACAGTCCTTGAGTACTAATTCCTTGTGAATCTAGACTGTTCTAAAGATGGTAACTGCTTTATAAAGTTTTCCAAAATGAAAAAAGGCTTTGTTTTTAGACCTCTCAACATCTTAACTTTCCATCTGTATCTATTGATGTTTCTCTTACCCAACAGTTAAAATAAAATACAGTGCTCCAAGAATGTTTAGGTTCAGGGAAGGATCAAGCAATGGTGCACATCTGTAACTCAGGAGGCTGAGGTAGGAGGGTTGCAAGTTGGAGGTCAGTCTGGGCAACATAGCAAAAGTGTGTTTCAAAAAAAAAAAAAAACAACAGTTTAAAAGGGTGGGGATATAGTTCAATGGTAAAGCACCCCTGGGTTCAATCCCCATTACTGGGGGAAAAAAATTAACAATTATTTTAGATAATTGAATGCTATCAGAGCTATTCATTATTTAGCATTTTACTAGTTTTTTTAAAAAAAAGATTAAGACATACTCTGGTTTGATAATGATTCTCAGTAAAATAAAATCCTTGAGAGACTTTTCTCTGTAGGTACTGGAATTAAGAAAGGTGATCCTCGGGCTGGGATGTGGCTCAAGCGGTAGTGCGCTCGCCTGGCATGCGTGCGGCCTGGGTTCGATCCTCAGCACCACATACAAACAAAGATGTTGTGACCGCCGAAAACTAAAAAATAAATATTAAAATTCTCTCTTAAAAAAAAAAAAAGAAAGAAAGAAAGGTGATCCTAACCACAACCTAGGTATTACAGCCAGAATTTCAAACTTATTTCCTTCTATTTCATCTTTTTTTTTTTTTTTTAAAGGAAATCACATTTTCTTTAAGGCAATGTTTCTCAACCATTCTGCATCAGAATCACCCAGAGGGCTTGCTTAGGCAGAGATACCTGGGTCCTGCCCACTAGAGTGTCTGATTTAGTCAGTCTGGGCTGGTGTCAAAGAATAAACAATTTGCATTTCTTTCTTTCTTTCTACTTATTTTTTTTCCCAAAGCTGGACATTAAACCCAGGGCCTCATACTAGCGATCTACCATAGAGCTACACCCCCAGCCCCCACATTTGCATTTCTAATAAGTTCTCTCAGGTGATGTGGATGCTGGTTATTTTGGGCATTTTAGTTTCTCAAGAGAAGAGAACAAATAATGAAGATTTATTACATGCAAAGGGACAATTTGTAATCAACAGGCCCAGGACCAGAAAATATAAACCCCAGGGCTATGAGAGGTCAACTGAAGGCACCAGTAGGAAAGGATGAGGCTCTTCCCTAAACTATCAGCTCACTATTCTGTACCAGCAGATGTCCTCATCTGCTGTGGGTTGGCCTACGTGGCAAATGGACTGTGAGCTCATCTACTGAGGACCTGCCCTCTGGGGTAATTTTAGAAATAATTCTCAAACCCCTTTGCTTAAAGTTCCAGGTTTTCATTATCTCTGTCCTCCACCAGATTCTAACAAGCTCCTTCATGGTTGGGACCAGGGCTCAGTAGTCATTTCTGACTTCTGGCTCTTGGCACAGGGAATACAGAAACCATGTTAGCTGCTCAAGTAAATATTTTTTTTTTATATTTATTTTTTAGTTTTTGGTGGATACAACATCTTTATTTTATTTTTATGTGGTGCTGAGGATCGAACCCAGTGCCCTGCGCATGCAAGGTGAGCCCCTTACTGCTTGAGCCACATCCCCAGCCCTGCTCAAGTAAATATTGAGCAAAACTGGTCCCAACTTATTCTCCCAAAGTCATCTCCAACCATTTCCACCAACATACCCTACCTTCAGCTACGTTGAGTTTTTGCCATTGCTTAAGTTGGCCCTGTCCTTTTAGGAGTTCCTGCTTTGTCTACATCCTTTCCTCTGCCTGTGATGGTTTCCCCCACTGGCCTGGTTAGCTTATTCTTTAAAACTCACCTCTGTGACCAGCAGTTCTGGTGAGCCTGTCCCAACTGCCTAGGCAAAATCAGTGATTCCCTTTTCAGGTCCCTTGTCCAAGGTCTTGAGTTGTTGTCTGTTCATATCTTGAATGTAGTACCTGCTGTGCTGTATTGAAAGTATCTGCTTAACCCATAATGGCAAACTTTTATTACTATGCCAAGGACTGGACTTCATAATATTACACAATATATTATTTTAAACTTATCAATAGCCCTGGAGCATAGGAATATACTCATTTGCAGATTAAGATTAATTATTTGCCAAGGATATTTTAGTGGGAAGTTGAGATGAAATTGGAAACTATCTTCTGGATACTGGAAATACTGGGGTCAATACAACAAATGTGGTTTCTTTCTGCAGGGAGCCCCAACTCATTGAGGACAGGAATCATATAGAAGTAAATGTATGACAATTGTTGAGTTCCTAGTACAGATATGGTTCATTAAGGACATTGTCTCTAAATACAACAGCTACCCTGCAAGGTGTGTAGTAGTTTCCCCATCTCATAGAAGAGGAAATAATATGCCCAAGGTCACACATCCAGTATGGTTTGAATCTAAAGTTGTCTGGACTTCAGAAAACTATGTTGTAAGCCAAGGGTGGTATAATTATATTGCACCAATTTTAAAAATAAATAGATAGGAGGTGAGAGTAGAGGAAGGGGATCCTAGGTAGGGAAAGGGGAAGTACTAGTGAATGAAATGGACCAAACTATGTTTTGTGCATGTATGAATATGTCACAGTGAACCCCACTATCATGTATAGTTATTATGCACTAATAAAAACAAAAGAGTTATTTTATTTTTTTTTATTATTTTTTTTTCAAAAGAGTTATTTTAGTCATTAGGGAAATGCAAATTAAAACCATAGCGAGACACCACTACACACCTATCAAAATGGCTAAAAAATTTTGACAACATCAAATACTGGTGAGAATGAGGAAAAACTGAGTAATTCACACATTGCTGCCATGATGTAAGACAGTATAGCCACTCTGGAAAACAGTTTGGCAGTGGGTTTTTGTTGTTGTTGTTATTTTTTTTTTTTTTAAGTTAGACATACACTTACCATATGACCAAGATTTCAAACTTCTAGAAATTTATCTTAGAGAAATGAAAACTTACTTTTATACAAACATCTGTATACAAATATCCGTTGCATTTTCACTAGTAACAATCCCAAATTGGAAATGATCCATATGTCCTCTAAAAGGTAAGTGGATAAATAAATTGGGATGTCCATACCATGGGCTATTTCTTAGAAATGACAAGGAAGGAACAACTTAGACGGCCCTCATGGTCGTTGTACTCAGTGGAAGAAGACAATCTCAAACAGTTAAATGCTGTCTAGTTCTATTCATACAGCATTCTCAAAACGATGAGATTATAGAGGTGGAGGACATATCAGTGGGTGGCAGGACTTATGGAGGGAAGAGGAAGTAAAAAGATAGCAGCACAGTGCAGTTCCTTTGTAGTGGCAGGAAGATTTTGTGTTTTGATGTGACAGTGGTTATACGAATCTCTACATGTGATACGATTTCATAAAACTGCACATATACATTTAAAAATTGAATATGTGCAAAAACTGGCAGAATGTAAGGTCTGACCAGTTTAATTTCACATCATGTACAACCACAAGAATGGGAAGTTATACTCCATGTATGTGTAATATGTCAAAATACATTCTACTGTCATGCATAATTAAAAAGAAAAAATAAAAAAATTAAAAGATAAAAATAATGTAAGGTCTGAGCCTAGTTAATTGCCAGTTTCCTAGTTTCAACAATGCACTATGCTGATGTCAGATGTTACTATTTGGGGAAGCTGGATGATAAGGACATGGGACCTCTGCACTACTTTTATAATTTCTTGCAAGTTTATAAATATGTCAAAATGAAAAAAAAAATGATACTGGGGTTTGAATCCAGGGTTACTTTACCACTGAGCTACAGCTTAGTCTTTTATTTATTTATTTATTTATTTTGGTATAGGGTTTTCCTAAGTTACTGAGGCTGATCTTGAACTTATAATCCTCCTCCTCAACCTCCTGAGTCCTGGGGTTACAGGCATGTATCATGGTGCCCACAGAAACATATTTCTTTAAGAGCCCTAAATGGCTATTAAATTAGAAAAATATGTGTAAATATTAATAACTAATTCTGGTATTTTGTAACCTGTATTGCTATTGGCAATACAAAAAACTACAGAGCAATAGATATTATAAACTGTAAATGTTCAGCAGTTTTGTCGTAAGTATCTCCATTTCTGGCCTAAATAATCCCCTAAAAGGTGCACACCATAGAAAATGTCATTTGTAACATCAACTTATCCACATACCAAAAAAACTAAGTATTTCAAGAGGTAGGCAACTAATTCAGTAAGTTATGGTCCATCTACTAACTAATATTGTTTAAATAAAAAAAATTATGCCTATGGCCAGGCATAGTGGTACACACCTGTAATCCTAGCAACTTGGGAGGCCAAGGCAGGAGGATTGCACATTAAAGGCCAGCTGGACAACGTAGCAAGAACATGTCTCAAAATGAAATTTAGAAAGGGCTGAGGATGTACCATAGTTGTAGAGCACTTGCCTAGCACATGCAAAGACCTGGGTTCAATCCCCAGCACTGCCAAAAAAAAAAAAAAGATTGATTAAATTATGAAGCAGTTTAACTTTATATATGCAAACAGACAAGGAATAATTTGAAGAAATGAATGCAATTTTATTTGTTTAATATTGTTTTTAATAGTTATGCAGTTTAACCCTACAATATTAAGATAGAGTGAATGGAATTATAAAAGTTAAAATTTACTTTGAATAGTTACTTATTTTTTTTTTAATTATATTGCTATTAATTAAAATTCTTTCTTGAACTCTTGGTGTTGGTTCTTTCCAGTTCTGTCCACTTTGCCGTTTGATACCCAATGAGAATCCAAGCAGCTTCAATGGCAGTTTAATAAGACACCTGCAAGTTAGCCACACTTTGTTCTATGACGATTTCATAGTAAGTATATTTTCTAACTTTCACATGATATTTTTATGCTGTGTATGTTAAACTTACCTTTTAAATCCAAGTGAATAAAATTATAGAAGGAAAAATGTGTTTGTAGCTAACGGGTTAAGTATCAGCATTAAGAATGAAATCATGAAATTCAAGTATTTTATAAATTTGACTATTGATATTAAAGTGGTTTTCTATCCTGGACAAAATTATTTTCTTTGTGATCTAGGTAATCATGCATTGTAAATATATTCAGATTTAATTTTTAAATTATTTTAATTTTTATTGTAGTCCCTCCTTTTACATAGTTTTTATTTTTGTGACATTGTGGACTTACATAGCAGAGATGCTCAGAGTTCTATATCCAATTACTTTTCTGAGTACATTGAATATCTATAACAGATATGATATTATCAGGCTAGTAACACTAGCCTTCTCATTTTTTATTTAAATTTGATAAAACATAAAACTATTGTTTATTTTAAACATTTTTGGGGCTGGGGATATAGATCAATTGCCTCACATGCACAAAGCCCTGGGTTCAATCCCTAGCACCATTAAAAAAAAAAAAATTGTACTCAGAATTGGACCCAATTACCACTGAGTCACATCCCAGCCCCCTTTATTTTTTTTATTTTGAGACAGGATCTTGCTAACGTGCTGAGGCTGGCTTTGAACTTGCAATCCTCCTGTGTCAAGCTTCCCGGCTGAAATTTTTAAACTTAAAATTTATTACAAAAAATTTTAAACATGAAATTAGACAGAAAAATATAATGAAACTTGATATACTCATCACCTAGCCTCAATTACCAAACCATGGCCAATCCTGTCATGTTGAATATTTTTGAAGATGGAGGTATAGTTACATGTAGTATGAATAGTTTTAATATTTTTAAATATATTTCTCATTATCAGAAATGATAATAGCAAGCAAATGGTTTTACTTTGGTCCATGTGTTGTCATGTGTGGAGAATGCATTGTCTCCTAAGTTTCAGCAAAAAAGTGTTAACATTTATTAATGTAGTGGGGGGAGTTATTACTAGTATTTTATTCTGAAATAAAATATTTTTATTGTAATGGAGTCAAGTTTGGATTTGCACATAATTTTCGCATGTTTTTGATTGTTTTCTTTTTATACAATTTCAAGATACCATTTAATCATTGTTGAGGACTATTGTTTGAAAATTTTCTCCCTGCTTTCTTATTCATTGTGGTTATCCACATTGGACCCAAGGAGCTAGGTTCTGAGTTAGGTCTAAGTAATAACTCTCAGGCTGAGCAACCTTGGGGAATGTATTTAACCTCTGAATTTCAGTTTGTTTATTTGCAAAGTAGAAGAGTAAAAGCACCTACTCTAAAAAGCTCTTGTGAGGATTAAATGAGAGTGCATAGAAAGTTATTTATTTGCACAGTTCAGGCACAGATGATAGGCAAGTTGAAGACTGGCAAGGAATAAGTGGGATTATTAGGACCACTTAAAGAATTGCACAAGGCACGTGACAGAGGCTAAATATTCTCTGCTCAGCTTCTCTAATAGTCTTTACTGGCCTCATGTGGTACACAAGTCCTCAGCATAACCTGGTTCTGGTCCTGTGTTCTTGTCAGTAATACAAAGGGATTCCTCTTTATCTAAGCTCTTTAAGATGTTCTAAAAGCCAGATTGGTTGTATGCCTTTCTGGCCAGTAATGTTCAGTCCATCTTTATCAAGATCTTTAGAGAAAGTATGACTGGTCACTTTGAGAATACTTTCTCACTACTCAAAACCATCTTTTTGGGTATGGAAGTGAACTTGAATTGATGTTATTTTGATTTCTGTTTTTTAAGCTACTAGATAAACCATGTATGTACTTTATGCATATTATTTTACTGCTTCCAGAAACTCTCTTAAGGTGAAATTGTATTTTTATCCTCATTTAACTGTGAAATATCTGAAGCTCAAAGGCTGAGAAAATTGCCTAAGAGTAAGTCAGTAATGAGACCAGACTGGTGCTCCACTGTGCTTTGGATTTTGCTTCTGTGTTTTAAAGTGGTCTTCCAGGAGATTTCACTTTTTGTTGGTTGTTTATTGTAGAAGAGGAGAGAGATTGCAGAGGATGGGGCTCATAATACTTTATATTTTATTAACAGAATGTGTTAGTATCAAGTTTTGAATTCCATTTGACTCATGGAGAGACAATAAAAGACATTTTTTGGTTTTTTTTTTTGAGAATTTTAATATTTATTTTTTAGTTTTCGGCAGACACAACATCTTTGTTTGTATGTGGTGCTCAGGATCCAACCTGGGCTGCACGCATGTCAGGCGAGCGTGCTACCGCTTGAGCCACATCCCCAGCCCCTGGTTTTGTTTTTTTTTAATAAATAGATATTTAGTAGTACTGTTGGCATTGTGAATACTAGGGGGAGATATATCTACATCTCTATATATCTATCTGCTTGTTTCCCTGCAGCACTAGGGATAGAACCCAGGGTCTTGCACATGCTAGGCAGGTGTTCTACCATTGAGCTATGCCCCCAGTCCCTTAAGGGATGTTTTAATTTACTCCATTTATGTGTTATATGTTATGTGAAATATAGAAGTCTGCCCAGAATTTTTAGCATTGTCTGTAAAACTGTTAATTAGGTCAGATAAAACTTGAAATTCCAAATCAAGACTATTTTATTATGACAGGAACTAGTTAATTGCTAGTCCAGTAAAGGGAAATAGAAAATGTTCTAGCTCTAAAGCTAAAGTCCCGGGCTTAGTGCCAGGCTTTGTGAAACCTTGAACAAGTCAGGTAGCTCAGGATTTTAATTTCCTGAAAAATGAGGTCTTTGCATTGACCAACATTGTCCATTTCTCTTTTTGGTACCAGGATTGAATCCGGGGATACTTAACCACGGAGCCACATTCCCAGACCTTTTTATATTTTATTTAGAGGGAGGGTCTCCTTAAGTTGTTTAGGGGCTCACTAAGTTGCTGAGGCTAGCTTTGAACTTGTGATCCTCCTGCCTTAGCCTTCCAAATTGCTAAGATTACAGGCATGCGCCACTGCAATATCCTCCAATTTCTGATACACTGTTAATTCTGCATATTTCTAATTATTTTTCTTTATTGTAGGATTTTAATATAATTGAGGAAGCTCTTATCCGAAGAGTCTTAGACCGGTCACTTCTTGAATATGTGAATCACTCGAACACCACATAATTTTATTAAGAGGAAGGGGAAAGGGACCACTCAATAGCAACATTTAAAATGCTGCTTGAACAATTGGAGGGAAGTTGTCAAGGTTTGATGGAGAAAAATGTATAACCCAGTTATATGTTTGTCCATTCTTATTGTTATAGTGCATTCAAAAACTGCTTTCATTTTGATGGTTTAAGTCTGTTTTTCATTCTTGAGTTTCTCAGACATTTAACAAGAAATAGTCTCTGTCCGTCATTAATTATGGAAGAAATACAGGCTGAGTATGTAGGTGGAGGATCTCTATTTGTGAAAGGGATGACATCATTTGGAATGCGACATTCATAGTTAGGCAAGACAACTGATCTTTGTTCTATGTAAAAAGAGGAAGAGTGGAACAAAGTGTAGACACTCAAGAAATATGAAATCTGTTCCAATGATTTTTTTTTCTAATCTTTAATAAAATAACATGATAATCTTGTATGGGAGTAGGAAAGGAAATTTTGATGTCAGCAGTCCATTTAACAGATATTCTATAACAGATATTACATAATACTATAACAATAAATTCTGTGTTAGAAACGTATGTAATTCCTTGACTTGTTATAACTGAACACATAAGAATTTATTATTATATTTTTAAAATATTTGTAGCTTATTATTTAGAAATTTCTATAATATAGATAATTTCTTAAGAATCATCAGTTGATATTTACAGTAAAAGGATTTATACCCATCATTTTTAATAGAAACCTTAAGGGCTTTATTTTAAATTTTAACCTTTTAAAATTATAAAATAAAACACCAATGCTGAAAAACAGACACAAAATTTATAGCTAATGCATTATTGTAAGAAATATTCTTTTAGAACTCTGCTAGTCAACCCATTTGTCCTCTTGTATCACAATTGCAATCCCGTAAAAGCAGCCACTACACTGATTTTTACAATAATGACTTTCCTGCATTTTGAATAATTTAATCACCTAGGGCATATCTTTCTATTTTAATCTTATTCATTTAAAATTGTTTCATTTGATTTATATTTCACAGGGACTGGAGCCATAGCTCAGCAGTGGAACACTTGCCTAGCTTGCTAAAGGCCCTGAGTTCAATCCTCAGCACTGTAAACAAACAAACAAAAACAAGATATATGTTTCATACTTCTCTTTGATCTGTAGGTTCCTCCTTCGTTCCTTTTTTTTTTTCCTTAAAGTTTCCTTGATGAAGAACCTGACTTAGAGAGATTCCCACAATTTGTATTTTACTGATTGAATATTCATGACACAACTCAATAGATGCCTCTGAATATTGGCACATGGATCCAGAGTTTTGATTAGACTCAAGTTTGCTCTTTTTTGCAAGATTTTGAGTCATGGTACGTTCTTTCATCAGACGGCACCTGCTTTTCCCCCCTTTATTTATTCATATATGTTGCAGACTGAGGATTGAACCCAGGGCCTCATGAATGCTATTCAAGTGTTCTACCACTGAACTATATCCCCAGATCTATTTTTAGATCTTATTTCAAGTCAGGGTCTTGCTAAGTTGCCCAGCTGACCTCAAGCTTGCAATCCTCCTGCCTCAAACTCCCAAGTAGCTTGGATTACAGGCATGCACCACATACTTGGCTTTTTTTCCCCTTTTATGTACCAGTTTTCGAGATGATAAAGGTGTTTATTATCTTCCAGAAATCACTTTTTAAAAAAAGTATTATGGAGTAATATATTTAAACATATTTGATGGGCTTCATTGCATTACAAATATAACTGTATAGAGACTCTGGTTGTTTAATTTTTGGCCATTAAGAGCCTAGTCAAGACAGTTCTGAGACCTTTTGACACTTTAATGGATTCTTTGCTATCCTATATGACAAGATACTTCAGGGTGAACATGTATGTGAACTTGTATGTTTCCTGCTCCAGACTTTGAATCAGTCATTTCTTTAAGGGCCTGTTTTTTTGCTGTGAGAAATGGTATTTCAAACCATACTGTGGACTCTAAGGATGCTCCTTGCTACTAGATTGGTCATTGTTTCAAGGAGAGAGCTAGGAATTATCTGCATGTTTTTAAAGATAAAACACTTGATAAGTTTCTTTGCTACTTCCAAATAAAATTTGGTAGTATAGGGTTTTTACCTAAATTTTCTATTCCAAGAATATTCTGTACTTCCCTACTAAAAATCTTGTTTTTCTGGGCTGGGGTTGTGGCTCAAATGGTAGAGTACTCACCTAGCACACATGAGGCACTGGGTTTGATCCTCAGCACCACATAAAAAAAATAAAGTTGTTGTGTCCACCTAAAACTAAAAAATAAATATTAAAAAAATCTTGGTTTTCAAGGACACAGAACATGATAGAATAAACCATGATTACCTACTTCTTTATTTACCTTTTACATGCAACTGTGTCAGAATAACAATACTAATACAATCATAACCAATATCATAACCACAACAACAAAAAATGTATTTGCTCTCCCCATTTTCCCTCTTAAAAAGTTGTATTATGTCAACATTTTTAGAACATTGGTATATATATTTTAGTTTCTCCCTTTTATCTCCAATTTAGTCTTGCCTCTTCAAGTAATGATATATTTAACATTTGCTACCATTTTTCATTCAATGTTCTATTTTTCATATCTGGCTCTTTTAGTGACACTTCTAGGACGTAGATTAATATTCCAATCTTGAAAGGAAGAAAAGATGCAAATAAAGATTAGTGGTATCAACTCCTGAAGATAAAATGTTATTTGACTTAGAGTTAGCTTGTAATTATAATCACTTAATTTAATTGTAGTCACTGATAAATTTACTTTTCTCCTTGAACATAAATATAATCATACTCATGGTACCCCAAATTTTCTATAGCAAGTTACCCCTAACTCACTAAGTCTTGCTACTGTTTTTCCAATTAGTACAAGGTAATTGGAAAAATGTAAAGCCAAATAAAGTCTATAGGGCTTCATGTCCTCATTTTACTTTTTATTTTTTTGATAGTGCTATGGGTCAAACCCAGGGCCTCATGCACCTAATCACGTGCTCTGCCACTGGAACTGTACCCCCAGCCACATCCTGCATTTTAGATAATGATTTCAAACTTTCTTTCACAGTTGCTAGCAAGTAACAACAGATTTTTAGTTTCACAACCTCTCTTCCTCTAATTTGGATGGTTCACATAATAAAGCAAAACCTGTTGGACAACAAGAACAAGAAGAGAGGAATTACTTAGAAATAATCATTGAACTGAAAATCTAGCCCTTGAAAAGTAGAACATATTTCTGAGCATTAGTAACTAATATCCAGACAATAACTTTGTTAATTCAGAGCAGTACAAAAGTCATATTTATATCTGTAAAATTTGATTTTAAAAAACATAAACTTTAAAAAATCTGTCTTTTAAGTAAAGCTTTAAGTCCTCTCCCACTATTAACCTCAGTGCAATTCTGAATCCTGACCCTGAATTCCTCTATTGATTCTCTTGCCACCTACAGGACAGATTAGGTGCTGGCCACCTGCATTATTCTGTGTTCTGAATTATTTTGAGTTTTAAAATGTTGAAGTGCAAATATTCATTGTTTCACTGTGCCTTTGGTCTTTTGTAAGAGGAGTGCATCATTCATTGTTTTAAAATAACTAATATTTGAAGTTGCTGACTACCAACAAAATTTCACTTGCTTTTTAAAAGTGCCTCAGGCTACAGCTTTTTCAAGGTTGTATAAGGGAAAAACTGATTCACATGTTATTCTTCCAGAGCTAAATTCTAACCTATGAAAGCCTATGGGATTTCTTTTTCATATGTTTTTTTCACCCAGATTTCTAAAATGTAGGTGGAACACCTGGACTAATTGTACATACATGGTAAAGACAGAGCTCCATGTCAGATCTTCTAGGAGATTCTATCTCCAGTGATGTTGTTTGGTTATTGTTACGGGGTGCTAAATGTCTTCCATTATGAAGTGAGCTTATTCCAGTTTTTAAATGTTTATCATGTCATAATTGTATTCTCAAACACTGATGGTATTTTAAAAAGTACTAAGGAATTCATTCTTTTATTATTCAACTGTAAAAAACATCTGTATAATGGTCAGAATTTAAAATGTATAATTCTTTTTCTTTTGAAAATTGTATTATTATGGGAAATAAAGAATGGCAGGACCATTGTTTTCATTAAAATATCTACTGTGTCTATTCTTTCTTTCTTTCTTTTTTTTTTTTTTTGTACAGGGGATTGAACCATTGAGCCATATCCTCAGCCCTACTGTGTCCATTCTTAAATATTGATCTTGATAATTTTTTTAGACAAATCTAATATGCATTTTTCTTCTTCCCTGTCTCTTCCTTCTCCTTCTCCTCTTCCTTCTTTTTCCTTTTTTTTTTGTGTGTGTGTGTGTGTGTGTGTGTGTGTGTGTGTGCTGGGGATTAAACCCAGGACCTCATGAACACTAGGTGAGTGCTCTGCATTGAGCTTCACCCCCAGCCTTCACAGGTTTGTTTGTTTGTTTGTTTTGGATTTTTTGTTTTTGGTACCAGGGATTCAACTCAGGGTCACTCGACCACTGAGCCACATCCCCAGCCTTATTTTGTATTTTATTTAGAGACAGGATCTCACTTAGTTGCTTAGTGCCTTGCTTTTGCTGAGGCTGGCTTTGAACTTGCAGTCCTCCTGCTTCCGTCTCCCAAGCCTCTGGGAGAATTACAAGGGTGAACCACCATGCCCGGCTTTCAGAGGCTTTTTAAATTATCAACATTCGGCAATATCAATCCCAAGAATATACATTCATTTATGCCATTAGTTATCAACTGCAGCTATTTTTTTGTCCCAGCAGACATTGGCAATGTCTAGAGACATGTTTGGTTGTCATAACTGGGGCAGATGTTCTATTGGCCTGAGATGTGGATACTGTTGGGTATGTGTGAGACTCCCTGCTGAAGTTAAGTTTCCCACTCGTGAGAACATCACGGCATCCCTTAGCCCTCCCAAATTCAAAGGTTTTCTCAACTAATCCCTGCAGGACACAGTGTCCGCTTGCTGGTCCTGAGTCACCCTGCCAATTAGCACCTGCCACGTCAATTACGCACCCCTTCTTAAGCCCAAGGTTGCAAGCTCTCTCCCTCTGCCTTCTTCCCCTCTTCCTCTCTTCTTCTTTCTCTCCTCTCTCTGCTCTCTTTCTCTTTCTCTCTGCCCTCCTCCTCTCCTCTCTCTGCCCTCTGCCTCTCCTTTTCGGGCAGCCCTCCAATAAATCTCTTGGTTGAATCTCCATCTCGGGTGAGTCACTCGCCTTTCAGATACAGCTCAACACTCTACAGTTTACAGGTTAGCCTCTCCCAACAAAGAATCTGCCCAAAATATCAACAATGCCAAGGCTTAAAAACCCAGACTTGGCTAAGGTGATGCTGAGCACCATGCAGTTACTATTGGTTCTGCTAGCCAAGGACTTCATTGAAATTTAAAAGGTAAGATAGAAGGGCTGGGGATTGAGCTTTGTGGTAGAGCACTTGCCAGCATGCATGAGACCTTGGGCTGTGTTCCAAACTCCTTGTGCATACATACACAAATACTACTAATAATAGTAACAAGAAAATGCAAATATTACACTACCTGCTAAATAAATACTAAGCTTTAGTTGGCTCTAGTTGTTATGTT